GATAACATCAGATATGGTAAATTAGAGGATTCACTTTGAAACTAGCTAGTGTGAAATTAAACAAGCACATTTGTGATACGCTGTGTGAATTTATCTGGTACATTTGTGAATAATGGATTGTGCATTTACATAAAATCCTCAGTGGTAAATTAGATGAATCAGTTTCAAATCTCTGGTGTGCATCGTGTGAGATTGATTGCACAGTGGTAAATCTTCGGTGTGCATTGTGTGAGATTGATTGCACATTGAATAACTTTTTCTCTGGGTAATCAGAAAAAAGTGCAAATGTTATATGTGAACTAGTGCATAACATTTACTTTGTATGTGCATTTTAATTAACGTGCATAACATGCACTCTGAATGTTTTAGTTTAAAGTGCATAATAATTTACTATTGAGTGCATTCTTGTATTCTGTATGTGCAGTTGAGGGCAAGAAGTTTTTTGAAAATTCCAAAGTAAGGAGGTTGGCCATGAGTTGGAGATATGTGAAAGACCCTTATGATTACAGGGTTTGAAAGACGAGACACATGACAAGATGCATGGGTGAAGGTGTTAAGAATTAAGACGTTGAGAAGGATGAGTATTGTACATCAATAATCAGTAAAAAAGTGAATGAGGCATTTTCTAGTGTTGGTTGTGAGTGTGATCTTTGACACTGAGTCAAATGGATATGCACACCCGTTGATAATGAACAACTTTGAAGATGAGAGCAAGATTAAGGGGCTGAATTGGTGTCGTTACGTCATATCATGCTATACTTGCTTGTTTGTGGAATTTCTTATTTTCGTAGAATTGCGTTTTGGTTGTGATGTTTTATTCGAAGTTTTAAACGCTTTTACACAAGGTCTTCTTGTATGGGTTTGATGACTTTGATATATTATTGAAATTTTTAAAAAAGATTGACGAATGTTAAGTGCCCGTCATAAATAGATTAATAAAAATCTGCAAGGTTAATGACAAACACTAACGAGTGTTGAGTGAGTGTTGAACGTGATTAAACATTACAGTGTACAAATATTACACAATTTGGTTTTGGATTGAACAAATTTGTGATGTTGAAGGACAATGCATTCACTGGTTTTTGTTAAATAATATTCTGATGAGTTTGAAATGGATGATGAACGTTTGTGCATTATTCCACATTAATTTGTGCACGAAACATGTAAAAAATGTATGCATAATTCAAAAAGTGTCGGTCATGGAATTCTTCGATATTAAAGTGTGCAAAATATACCATAACATTCCGCTCAAAATGATAATTATGTGAGCAAAAAATGAAGGTTGATTATAAGTAAATCATTCGACACTAATAAAATGTGCACAAATCTCGTCCAAATATAATGACTATAAAAAAGTACTATTACAATGATTAAATATAATCACTAACAATGACAAAGATTACTGAAGTCAACCAAAATAAGTAAAGTATGAGCGTGAAGTTTTGCAACAAAAGAAAAATAGTTAATTAACACATTTCAAGCAGATTTTTCCAGATTTTTTCATGGGGCAGTTGCAGCTATCATGGTGACACATCTCGTTACACGTTCTACACAGTCTTAACTTCTTCTTTGATTGCATTGAACCACAAAATTGTTGAATCACGAAAGTCTTGCTGGTCACGTGTGCACTATCATGCCGTGATGAGAGCAGAATACTCTTCTGCTCCTTAATTAATTGTGCAAACCGTTCAAACAGAATCGGGTTATCCTCGATAATAGCAACACAACAATGAATGTCAGACCATAATCGATTGACATGCAACTTTCTCTCCTCATTAGTCACACATTGGTCAAAAACACTATCCCCAATATCAAACACGGGTTTAATGATAGTGTTTTTAGACCAACGACTAAGAACAAATTCAGGAGGAATATATAGTGTGCAATTTAAGGTCTTTAAAGACAACAAACATGTGTCTACAAACAAGCTCAATTCTGTCAAAATCTTTGGAACTGTATGTTGTAGTAGACGCGGTTAAAGAATGCACGACATTGAAAACCACACCCCGCTCATCATTAATAACGTATTCACGCACACCATTGACTTATTGAATGCTTAAAACTGCACATGAGAAACAGGCAGAGCATATCTCCTTATGAATTTCATAGAAAATCGAGTGTAGACAGATGATGTATGCTTTTCAATGTGTAGCGGTGTGCTGTGGACATGTGTGCAAGAGTCAGAAACGTGGTTCAATTTCGAATTCTTGTGTCATTGAGCATCCATAGCACTTTCAAACTGCATGAAAAACTCAACAAGGCTGAAAATGAGGTTAGTAAACCCACCAAAAAAATAGTTGTGCTGAAAATAGTGCTTACGAGTGCAAACAGTCACATGTCGATAAATTAAATCCAAGTTTGAAATTAAACATGGGTTTAATAATACTATTTTAACACAAATAAACATTTAAGGTGCAGTAGATTAAACCGAAATGGGGGGTTATTAAACAAAATAAATACACAAAAATGAAGTAATTGATGCACTGGAGAATGCGTAATTACAAATAAAAATAGGTTATCATAACAATATTAAACCAGTGAATACCAAATTAGTGCATGTGCATCTAATGAAACATAATTATGCAGATATTAAATTTAAGTTTGAAATTAAGCCTGGGTTTAATAATACTATTTTAACACAAATTAACATTTAAGGTGCAGTAGATTAAACCAAAATGGGGAGTCATTAAACGAAAAAAATACACAAAATGGGGAGTCATTACACCAAAATGGGGAGCCATTAACACAAATGAAAGAAAAACGGTGTAACAACAAATGAAACAAAAAAATACGTAGTACAAACAAAAGAAGAATAAAAAACAGACCTTTATCCATTGGTTAAGCTTCAGAGTTCTTTCTGGGGGAGGAAGAGGCGGTCAGAAAGTCATGTGGTTCAAACGTACGTGAATTGATTTCACGTAGATGGAAATATCAATCGTAACTGAAAGGGAAAGAAATAAAAGGTTTATTTGATTGATAAAAAATGAAAGAAATACATAAGGAAAGGGAAGGATACTACATACGAATGGGAAGAGAAGTAGCAATGACATATTTGTCCTGTGCACACACACGTGAGTATAGTAGAAAATCAGTTGATCTAATGGACATGATTCATTCTTATTTTTTTTCATTAGATGGTGTTCTTATTTGAACCAACCCTTTTTTACATATGTCAAATTGTCAAGGGAATTTTTTGTAAATAGAATTAAAACAAACAATATGTAGAAATACAATCATCATTGTTTTTTTAAATATGACTTATTCACTTTTAATAAGAGAAGTTTTGTACTCTTAATAGGATTAATTCACTCCTATTTTGAAAGGAAAACATTAATAATTTTATTTGTACTTTTTGTCTACGTTTTAGTTCTTTTTAGAACAATTTCTTAAATGTAAACTAGTCAAAACGTGGAATAAGAACTCCAGAGTCAAACTTACCTATTTTTCTTATATATTGTAATTGATTTTTTATTTTATATTATATTGAATAAATCAAATAATTTAACTTAAATTATCTATCTCTCATTACAATAGACACTAACATATGTACATAAATATAAGCACATAAACATACACACACGACGACGCTTACCATGACAAATGTACAACCTAAAAGCACCTACCATTTTCTATCTTTTTGAGTATACATAATTGCCTTGTGTATTACAGAGTGTTATGATACTCCGTGCTTATTAGTTCTCTCCTTCAATCTGATCAAACAACAAAAATGCTAGGTGTGCACAAAATACGTGCATCTTTGGCACCCCGTTTAAAAGTCTCCCCCATTTTTACCTCACTTCCTTCCCCATTTCAAATTTTTACCTCAACTTTTCTCTTCCTTCCAAAACTCTCACCCCCTACTCCCCGCTTACTCCCTTGCAACTTCAAACTACCCCAAAACCGAACACCCAAGAACCGAGCATCCCCGTGACAACACCGGCCAACACCTCCCCTCGTCTCACCCTCCCCAACCCATCCAGCAAAACAAAGAACGACAATCATCATCACCGAACGGCCACAAAAAAGAATCGTCACCGGAGAAGGGCGTGTACAATCCTTATGTCGGTGAACGAACACATCCCCACGAACCGGTGTCGCACCCCCACGAACGGAAACGTTGTGTACTTAAAGCCCGGAGAGCTGAGGAGTTCAAATATTGAAGAAATCAGTGAAGGTTTCAAGCATACAAGCTTTGGTGCGAACTAGTTCAAAGTTTGCACCTTGGTCCTCGTCTTCCCTTGAGCTCGCATCCAGTTCAACGACAACTGGCGGTCCGGTGTAGGAGCAGCGTCTGCAACTTCATCACCTACCTCTCCCCATGTCAAGCTATCCAAGAGTAAGTCATCAACCCACTTGAATATATCATTCCCATTTAACTTCATCGAAGAAGATAAAAGATAGAGAAGATGAAGATACATGATGGAAATCGGTTGTTCCGAAGGTGTACAACATGGGGGGGGGGGGGGGGGGGTTGGAGGGGAGGAGGGGTAAAAGATGGTAAAAAGGGAGGCTTTTAAATGGGGTGCCAAAGGTGTACACATTTTGTGTACATCTAGCATTTTTTAACTAGTTTTGCCTATTCCAATGGAGTTAAAGAACCGACACAAGTTAAATACTTAGTAGTACTATCAAATACAATCGAATGTACGTTCGAAAATGTTGAATTTATGTAGTCAATATTTATATAAGATAGTAAATTTATGGGGTAATTTGAGTTTGCATCCTATTTTATTGTCCAAATTAGATTTTGCACCTTGTTTTTAAAAAACTTTATATTTGCACCTCAAATCCATATGAAAACAAATATGTTGGCCTCAACATATTCTTGATAGAGGCATTTTTTGTCTTTTTATATGGGGTTGGGGTACAAATATAAAGTTTTTAAAAAATGGGATACAAAATCTAATTTGTATAATAAAATGAGGTGCAAATGACTTAAATATATCACATGTATTTTTTTTTTGTAGCAATAGACTATTATCCTAAGATTATTATTGCAGGTGATGAATTCAAATCATCATGCTGTAGTTTTTGTTATTACATGGACTCGTCGAGTAGTTAGTATGTTTACCGTTTATATTTCATTCGTCATTGGGGAACTTCAAAAATGTTTTTTTACTCTTCATCCCCGTACCCCATCCTTCTCCGAACTCGGATAATCGGATAAAACTTCCGGCGACCGGATATAATTCCTGAACATTCTAAATTAATATCATGAATTCGACTGAGCCCAATGACAACAGTGAAGAGGTGGAGACTTCTAATTTTCGATTCTTGCGTAGCTGTTTGGGGCGTGTACTATTTTTATTGGGGCTCTTCCTCCTGCTTATCTTCTTGCTTTGTTCTGCTGTGTATATAGAGAATTTACCGATTTGGAATCCAATTTCTCTGCCATCCCGATGCAAAATAGTTTCTAGCAGTAAGTGAGCTAACGATTATATGGTATGTTTGGGACTTGGGGAGCAGTTGTTGGCGCTCTGAATGGAAATATAGATTTTTTCTGGGTGTGTTGATGAGCTTAAAGCATTGGCTTCGATGTTCTTTTGATTCTAACTGGGGGGGGGGGGGGGGGGGGATCAGCTGTAATGAAACTAGATTGAAGAGCATTTTAGACGCAAACACATTGATTTCTATTGCAAGAAGTTCCAATCTTATTATTCTTCATAGGACGTAGCTAGTTAAATTGTGTTTTGTGTTGGGAATTACTGAAAATTTGTTAGATGTTAACAAGTTATGCATAGTTTTCAGACCCGTTCAATGGAGAGATGTATGTTTGTTTGGAATTTAAAATTTTAATGAGCTTTGTAGCGGTCGCCTTGACTGTGCAGCTATTTTAATATCCTTATCGTGTTAGTGAAAGAACATTGCAATTACACTTATCAAGTTATCACAATCTTTTCTATTTGTCCTACTGGATTGAATTTTCCTTCCAATCTTTTCTGTCAATTTTATGAACATTTTTATTCACTTCATGAATATTTCTACCTGTTATGTTCTTCCCAAGAACTCAAGTGCTACGATATCTAACCTTTGTTGACAGTCCAGTGCTTTATTTACCATAGCTTGTATAATACTCCTCTCGCAGTTTTTTTTGTTCTCACAGATACATCTTGTCTATGTGTGTATGGACATGAGAGTTTGCCTGTGAGAAGGGTGTTGTAAATTGATTTATAAATGGAAAATTCTTGTTGACAGAAAGTAAAAAAGAAAATCATCTTGGTTTGCATTGTTGTCTTATGCTACGATTTCTCAATTTTTGTATATTTTGATTTTGGTTGCTTGTGACTGTACAGATTCATTACAGCATTCAAAGTAACATGCATCCATTCATAATTTGATCATGTACCAGCCCCCAACAAAAACCTGGTTGATTTAATTTTGGCAGTTGTGAAATATTGTAAAACCGGAAAAATATGCATCTAAACTTCTCTGCAGGTGTGGATATTAGATCATCTAAAGTATGTGAACTGGGACTGTTGAACTACAAAGCTAAAAATGTACTTTACCCGTATGAAATAAAGAAGTTTCGATGTCATTATGATTACTACTGGGCATCTGTATTTAAGGTGATTATCTCTGATTTTCATAGCATGCTATATTTACCTGGTAGTCTACACTCAAATGGTTGCCATTGCCTGGGCTGTGACTTTAAGACTCACATGTTCAACATTTTGTTCTTTTCTTTTGATTTTGTATAAAGCAATTTGCCAATCTTTTGAACTTAGAGTAATAAATGTGTCCTTGCGTTAAATAACTTAACAAAAACAGGTTGAATATATAGATCATTCGGGCCATTCGCGTCTCGCTTTCGCTGAAGCTCCTAATGAAGCACTTCCCTCTGACTGTAGACCCAATTTTATTGCTGCTTGGCTGGCAAAGGATAGATTCAAGGTAGATGTTAGTCATTCAATTTTGAACGCAAATGAGGGAAATACTATTTTTGAGTGTGTACTTTTACTAATTGAATTTAATCGATTGTTTGTTTTACATGATGTGTCTTTGTATTACCACACTTGCCTTCCCTTTTCTCAGGTTAATGAAACTTACAAGTGCCGGTACACGTTGGGAATTTCTAAGATTGACATATATGAAGATGGCTTTTTCGGTTGTCAAGCTAAAGATCCATCCACTGTAGAGATGTCCATTCGGTATATAATCCTGTGAGTATTGAAGAAAGAAATTTTCTCTGTTCTTTACTGGCATAAAAAAGGATTAAGAGTTGGAAAATTTTACTGCTCCTGTTAAGTTTTTCAAGAAGTTCTGTGCCCTTGAAGAAAGATAACAAAGTTTTTATGTCATCTGTCATCTATAGCTATTTGCATTACCCCTCCTGATAGTTAGAAATGGATGCTTGGTTTCATATCGCTCCATGTTCTTCTACCAAAGCTTCAAGCTAGTGTGAAAGCGGAATACGTTCCTTATTAAAATAAAAGATGGTTCCTTTCTCCTTTTCTCTTTCAGAGATGTGAATCAAACACACATTTGAATTTGAATTTGCCGAACTGAATAAGGTTTCCTTTTGCCAGATAGGATTATATATGAAAGACGTTGACAATAAGTTCCACAATTAATAGTTGTGCTACTGTTAAAGGTGTCAGGTGACAATTGAAAAATGGTCCTACGAGAAAACAAATCAAATCGACTTAGAAATGGAAAATATTTATCCAAGATGCAATACCTTCTGTCACCACATTGTCTGAACTCATCAAGTATGAAAGTGATTCCCTTAGAACAGGAGTGACAAACTTGTCATTAGTCAACTCTTTGACCATAGGACATGGAGGGTTAAAGAAATATCGTTTGGATTCTAAAAAGAAAGATGTATTGAAAAACTAATCTCGGTGATGGATCTTCTGTTGATTCTAGTCATCTAGCTATCATCTTGTTCCTCATTTGCTTTTTGTGTAAAACCTATATGGTCATCAAGAATTAGATTTTGCTTGTGATCGATGGATATTATTGTGATTTTTTACCATAGATGCACTGATGTTGATTTTCTCTCATCTTTTTTCCTAATGTAACTAGAGGTTGGTATTTCTGTCAGGTTCATGCGAATATTAAAATCTGCATTTCCCAGTGCAAATTTACGAAGATCCTGGGGATTGGGTGTGGTTACTGGACTGCTCACGGGGATCTTTTCCTCCCTTGCTATCATATTCTCGGCTAGCCTTGTATGGAAATTCAGGCCTAAACGTCGCCACCTCTCCATGACCAGATGGCTTACTTTGCACTGTAGTGCAGTCTGTTTAAAAAGAGTCTGTTTCTTTGTAGCATATGTGTCCTTTTCAAGCTGGTTAGCCATTCAATACATAAAGAGAATGGGCATCCCTGAGGTTATAGTTTACAATAGGTAAAACCTTAAAAGGAGCAGGAACTGTTTCTTCATAGCAGCTTTATGAAGATAGATTTCCATTCTGTAACAGTCTAAAATCTGGTTTCATTAGAAAATAGATTTCCATTTTGTAACGTTTGTATTTCTGGTGTATCATTTGTATGGATTTTTATAGGAAGTACTCCCTCCGTACTTTCTCTCAACAAGCTTAGATCCTAAACTCTCTATTTCTCTCTAACCGGACTGTCTTAGAACTTTGTTGAATGGGTACAATCGCGAGGAAGATGAGTGATTGTTTCATTATGTCCTTATATTTTTATTTGTGATGGATCTGCTAGTAATTTAAAGATATTGAAATTTATTGTTTTTGAAAATTCTACTTCTTGATCATTTCTTTGCAATCGCGAGGAAGATGATTCATGCTTCCACCGAGGAATTTACTTGCAACTTTGGAATAACAAATTGATGTAATTAATTACGCACTACCGCCGTCAAACCATACAGTCAGTGATCATTTTAAAGGAAAATAAAAAGAAAATATAACAAAAAATAAACGAGTTTTTTCCCGGATTAATGCTAATTAATTAATTAATTACGAAATTAGGGTTGAGTTAAAAGTTATTATCGATATAATGTTGGAATTAATTCTGGTTGGGCAAAGTCGTCAAATGGTTTGTATGACTTTATATAACTTTTAATCTACTTTCTGAGTATATAAATTTTATTTTCTATAAATAGTCTAAATATTTATATGAATCAGTTAATTTTATCGTCAATCAAATTACTAGATTTTCATGTAATATTTAGAGAGAAAAAAAGATAACACTTTTGACTAATATCAAAATAGTGACTATATATAAACGCATGAGGGTTATTAGTTAGTAGCCAATATTAACCCTCAAATTTGTAATTATTGTTGCCAATTTTTCCTTTATTTTATATATCTAACCTTTCATCAATTTTAAATTTTTTGTATGGCTTTATACAACTTTTAATCTACTTTCTGAGTATATAAATTTTATTTTCTATAAATAGTCTAAATATTTATATGAATCAGTTAATTTTATCGCCAATCAAATTACTAGATTTTCATGTAATATTTACAGAGAAAAAAAGATAACATTTTTGACTAATATTTCAAAATAGTGACTAAGTATCTTATTGTTACATAATCTTATCAAAAGTGAATACGTTTCCGCCTCTATCTCTAGGGTTGCCGTCTTAGGCAATGCCTAGCTTGTTTTGTCCAGCGGTGTTCGCTTAGGCTAGTACGTCGCCGAGAAGATTGTTGTTATTGGAAGGAGGAGGGGATCACAAGGAGGATTTTGGCAAGGTTCTGGCAAAAGGTTAAAGCAACAGGTTTGCATGGACAGTTTCGTGAAAAAATACAAGAAGATGGCGATTGGGGCAGAGGAAAAAGAACTGGATCTAGTTGAAGCTGATGTTGAGGGTGTGGCGTATGAGCGGCGGGTGTGTCCCCCTCTTAAGCCGCCGCCATGGAGTGCAAGCAAATCTAGGGTTTGGAAGAAGATGGGTGAACTCTATTTTAATTGTGTTTTATTCAGTTTGTGATTTTCTGTTGAATTGCATGTTGTTTTGGACGTGTTATTTTTTGCTAACAGAGAAATTCTTAAATTTAGGTTAGGTGATGAGAAGTTTGGTTTGCCAGTCATTGGCTCAGTTATGCCCATTATAGGATCAACGAATGTTATTGCTTCTACAGAGTTGATAGATTCTCAGTCTGATTCGAGGACGGACGACGAACATAAGGCTTGATCGTATTATCAACCATGTGACGAACGTTATTTTGATTTAATATTATAGTAGGATTTGATGATAAAAAAAAGTATCTTATTGTTACATGGAAAGTAAATTTCATGCAACGTCAGTCATCATTATAGGGACTCACCGACAGACAATGATTTGCCGGAGGATGGAGGCGGCACCATGGGTGTGCCGTCAATAGCTGATTCAGATCAACTTCGTTCCTCGTGTTTTCTACTTCCTCCGATTCTTATTTAAGTTCTTAGTTTGACTTCACACATATTAAGAAAAATGAATTTGACTTTACTGTGGAGTGCACTGTTTGGCACTGTTTGGACACTGTTTGACACTGTTTTGCACTTTTTTGTTTCCTAAAATGGAAGTGTGAACTTAAATAAGGGACATCCCAAAAAGGAAAGTGGGAACTTTAATAAGAACCGGAGGGAGTATTTTTTATTTTCAATTGCACCTGAAATATCATTAAGGACAGTTTTGTCAATTGAGTATACTTTCAGTCCTATAAAACATTGAAATTCTGATTATGTACTTATCGATTGTTTTGGTTTTATGTAGTGAATTTACTATGTAGTACACCAGCATTAATTGTTGACTACCAAGGCAATTTTCTCTTAACTATTCGACTATTTTCATTATTTTTAATCCGGTTTCAGATTATTCATGAACAATAACTTGTACGAGTACGTCTTTATTAATGGGAGAGTACGAGTGTCTTCAAGATTTCGTTCCAAAGTATTATTACAGAAGCAATAGTTTCATTTACAAAAAGGGCATTTGGTCTAGTGGTATGATTCTCGCTTTGGGTGCGAGAGGTCCCGAGTTCGATTCTCGGAATGCCCCTCATGCATACCCCTTTTATAATCCCATATTTTTCTCACAAAAAAAATCGCACCACTTTTTAGTTACAACACTCCTATTTTAGCAATACATCTAAGCACCTTGATTGTCGATCCATTCCTAGTCGAATTAATTTTTTTTCTGTAGCTAATTAAATTATGCTCACGGTTACCGTTAACCTATATACTATGTATATAAATGGAATGAGCTTTGAAAAGAAAAAAAACATAAAATACCTTCTACATACATATACCATTTCAAAATATCTTTGTGTTATTTGAATATACTCAGACTTCGATTATAATATCTGCTCTTTATTAAATAACAAGATCCGAGTTTCAACCCATGGACATTCACCTTGGGAGTGACCATTTCGATATCTGAGTAGGAGAATGTTGTCTAATTCTCACTTGTATAAACCTGGAAGGTACTCTGAATAACATTTGTATCACTTTCTAAATTACGATAACTGGAGCAACAAGTAACCAATCACATAGTTGGAAGAACGACCCAATAGTTGCAAATATATACAGAAACAATTGATAATGGAAGGAATTGTTGTGGGTCAAATAAAGCATAGTTCTCTGGACATCGTAAAAGCTTCTCCAGTATATGTAAAAAATTGATTAATTGTTATAATAACTCTAAGGTGAGGAGGAACTGGAAGACCTTCCATAGACAGGCAAATCGCTTCCATTGATGGAATGAAGATGGTACTTGGCAACCATATTCCGTACCATGCTATTTTGCTTAATCCCAGCTTCGAGCATGGAGTTATACAGCGACTTCGCATCCACTAACCTTCCAAACTTGCAAAACCCACAAAGCAGAACTCCATAGGTTATCACGTCGGGCAAAAACCCACATCTCAAAGCAGAATAAAAGACTGATAAAGCCTCTTTCGTCATTCCCTTTTCACAGAGACCATCAATCAGAATTGTGTAGCTTATGATATTTGGGGAGATATTGTTACTGAGCATCTCCTTATGAAGCTCAAAACCTGTTTTGAATGAATGCAACTTGAAATAGCCGTCCATCAAACAGCTATATGTGACCACATTGGGGACTCTACCTTTTCCTGTCATTTCAGAGAATAATGACATAGCCACATCCAGTTTCCCTTCTTTACAGAAGGCATCAATCAATATAGTTAATGTGATTGTGTTGTGACCGGTCTGTCTCTTCTTTAACTCTGCAAAGAGATGAACGGCTTCCTCCAACATTCTCATAGAGCAGTAGCCGCAAATTACAGTGTTGTAAGTCACGATATCAGGATCGGGCCCACAATCCAATACGTACTTGAACAGTTCCAACGCTTTTTTCAAATTGCCATCTTTGAAATGTGAATTGATGAGGACATTGTAAATGGCAATATCAGGCCTGGTTCCAGTTGTCACCATATCCTCGAAAACTTGTACCCCGGCAGCCAACTTGTGGTATTTGCACAGCCCGTCAATGAGAACGCAATATGTGATGACATCGGGAAGAAATCCCTTCTTTATCATTTGGAAGAACAAAGCCATTGCTTCACGATAAATCCCTAAATCAAAGATCATTTGGATGATTAAAGTGTATGTAATTAGATCTGGAGCTATATCATGAGCGGCCATCATAATATACAGATTTACTGCTTCCTTTATTTGTTTCAATCTACAAAATCCATCCAGCAATGTGTTAAATATACAAACATTGGGAGCTAATCCACTTTTAACAACTCTGTAAAAGAATGTAAGTGCATTCTCCATCCAGCCTTGCTTTGTGAATCTACTCAATAGCATATTCCAAACATAAACATCTGGAACGTGTCCCTTAGTCACCATATCCTCATACAAAGCAAATCCTTCTACCAAATTTCCTACCTTGCAGAAACCATCAATGAGACTACTGTACATTATGGGTGATGGCTGAATGCCACGTTTGACAATCTGACAGTACACTCCAAAAGCCTCAAGAAATTGGTCATTTTTACACAATCCATTTAGCAGGATACCATATGTAACGATGCTCGGCTGAACATCTTGCCTTAACATTCTCTTATATACTTTAATACCCCTTAGAATGTCTCCCCTCTGTATGTATCCATCTATTATGGTGCTGAAAATAACAACGTCTAACTTTAAGCCTTTACCTAATGCAGTTGAGAGAAGTTGACCTCCCTCGTCAAATTTCCCAGCCTTAAACATGCCATTGATTAAAATGCTATAAACAATTATGTCAGGCTCTATACCTTTTGCAGTCATAAGAGCATAATGTTTGAGTGCCTCATCCAACTTTCTTTCCTTGCAAAAGCCATTAATCACAGTACTAAACGTCACTAGACCTGGCTTCGGACCTACTTCTTGCATCAACAAGAAAAACTTGTGTGCAATATCTCCTTGGTTTTCATCATAAAGAGTCCTTAAAATCTTATTACATGCTAAAACAGTGGGCACAAATCCTTTGCTAGTCATCCTCCTGTGGAATTCAAGGCCATGCTCAACATCATAATTCTTGAGAAACCTGACCATCACAAAATTATACACATCAAAACGTTGTTTCTGGACGCCCATCATCCCACTTTCCATTTTACTGCAGATGTCCACTATAGCACCAAGACTCTTTCTCTCAACCAACGAACTCAGAGCCCTCAGCATAGCATACTGTGAAATCGATTCATATGACGGATTGGAAAAAACTATTCATTTGTTTTATGACTTCGTCACGAACCTGGTTCTGTGAAATAAAATCAGTAGAAGAAATTGAGATACTCCCTACTCATCTTAACAAATTGTCAAATTGAGAAATGCTTAATATCAGGGAAACTCTGCAAATAGAAAACAAAATCAGAGAGAAGAAAATAAATATATATGGACATATATTTTGATAGCTCGATATGCAGAGAGTAACAGGCAATGGAAATAATCATCAAAATCCAGACCAACAAACCGCCAAAATAGAAGCTAGGGGGGGATGATCAAAGGGAATTTATGCTCAGTTGGATTTTCACAAGTGAAGAAAGGGAATTAATTGCCCACTAGTGAAGCTGGGAAGAGGGTAGAGGAATTTGAATATGTTATGCTTACAGGTGTTACAGTTGCTCACTTTGGCAGCACATACTGAAACAACAGTGTTAGGGTGCAACACAACAGTATTAGGGTTTCTCCCTTCATTTTCATTCTTCTTTTTTGAAAAATTACTACTTAATGTAGTAAATAGTAATGTACATATAAATTACCATACTACCCGTAAATTTACATCTCCCATAAAATGTAAATGAGTAAGGTGCCTGCCAAAAGTTACTAACAGTACCCTAATCCTATAAAAATTATAGGAGGGCTAGAAACCTACAAAAATATGTCTCTTTATTAAACTCTTTACTCAGACCCTACACCTATAATGGCCAATTATCCATTAAAAGCAAGCCCAATTCAAACATGTTGAGTACATAAGTCATAACCTAGAACATAACATGCTCACAAGGATCTTCAGAAAATCATATAGAAGATGCTACTTTTTCTCACATCCCCACTTGGGAAATTTTCCAAAGAAAGGGTTCGGCATTTTAAAAGTAACTTTGTATTTAATAAACATAAATGTGTAATCTTTCCAGTTCAACAAATACATAAATTGTTTACAGAAGAGTTTTATAAGCCTATATCCAACTATTCCCTTTGAATAGTGATAGCTCCCTTCCAATTAAACAGCTTCCTTGTACCAATATATGATTGCTGAACTTCAATATTGAAACCTCACATGTTAAACCAAAAAAAAACCTACCGTAAATTGGAACAAACCAAACCATACAAAAAAGCGAATAAAAAAAATTATTGAAACGGACGAAAAAAGAAACAAAGACAGAAAGATTTTTCAAACCTCACGATACTGATACGAAAGGTTCAGATTTTGAAACAGAATCAAGAAACCATTGACACATGACCCGCATTCAGTAAGCACACAAAGAGTCAAATACAAGAAAGAAGCAACATGAAAGGAATTGATTACTTGAATCCTGAAGCTATACTCAGAAGTGAAATTCATGTAAAGGCCTATCTCTCAATTTGAGATCCCAGACGGTATACGGTAATACAAACAAAAACTAAATTTCATATTATAACGTATTATGGTACCATAAGCGATATGAGATCAATAGATCATAACTGTCAACTATGAACATAAAGCCCAACATAGAGGAGAAAGTGAGAAACAATAGATGCTTATAAAATCTTAATCTTAACAATTATTTATTCCAGTGATTAGATTCTGACATGATATTATGATTAAGTCTCTCGTCAACAACTGTGATTGGGGCCTATTTACAATGATGCGTTGATATTTTCTGTTACTTTAGTAAAACGAAGATCATTAACTAAATTAAAAAAAAAAGTTAATTCCCCAACATATAAATTGCAAAAATCTAAATATCTTTTCTTGTGAATAGAGGAGTTCAAGAACTCTACTGTACAATACATTTCCTAAAGCTAAACCTACTTACAGTGTCTGACATCAGGCTCTTGAGCAAATTGGAAAAACTCAAGGTATGAGTGTATTGCATCACAATGAATATATACTGAAATGCGCACTAGGGTGGGGGAGGGGAGTCTTAAAAGAAAAAACATCCGGAACTGCAGTTGGTTTACTACGCCAAAGATGCTAATTTATACACTCCCAAACTCATGAGCAATTGAAGAGAGAAAATTTGAAATCAAAAGATAAGTACAAAATCTATGAAAAGAAATAGAAGAAACTACAAAGAAAAGAAGAGCGGTGTCAGAACGCAACTTGCACAAAGAGTTACCTGAAGTCTTGGATTGTGGCCTTGCTGGGAATGGATGGCCAAAAATTCAAAGCTGTAGAGCCTTTGAGGTCGCCGCCAAGCCGGAAATCAAAAACCTCAGAGGCGTCCGTCGTCCATAGTCGGAATCTCGGAGGAAATGGGTAGATGAGGATGAGCAGTAGGCGTAACATCAAAGGAGAAACAAGTCAATGGCGTAAACATAAGCATATCGGCGATTGGGTAAAACTCCATATGCCGGGCAAGTGCCGGTTGGTTTCTATGGCTAGAGGAATTGATGAGAACTGCTTACTAGAGACTAGAGAGTTAGGTCTGGTCTAATGACTTCGACTGGTCTTATAAATTTACTCATTTTTGTGTATATTATAATGATTAAAATTTATATGATCTAATTAAGAGTTATTTGTTTGACTTTTTGATCTATTTAAATCTGATTTGGTTTGAGATTGTGACGAACCACAGCAAAAACATGAGATTTTTTAATATAAGGCTCTAAAATGCTTTCCAAAGAATTAAAAGTAAAATGACAAGGAGTACCAAAAACAATAAAAACGGTATAAAAGTAATGTACAAGAACGAGAAGAAAATCAAAAAGATAAATTATAAATTATGATTGTAAAAAAATAAAGAAAGAAGAGAGAGCGTTAAATTTTAAAGTACACTAACTATTTTAAGCGGCTAGAGTAGATGGCCATCTTTTAAATATGACACAAATATGACTTCCCATCTTTTATTGGACAAAAATATGAGTGAAATTTCTTTTGACAAAAATGTAACTGGACATTTGTTTCTTCCATCCTTGCTATGCAAACCTCCTTCCATCCTTGTTGCGCAAACCCTAGGGACTGGACTTCCGTTTCCTTCATCAAGGCAGCTCATCTACGCAACACAGATCCATCTCCTTCGTGCATAAATCCATCTTCTCTGTGCAGAGCCGTCCATCTCCACCATGCAGAGCCGTCCATCTCCTCCGCGCACAGTGCACTCGCCCCATCTCCTCCGCGCACGGAGAACTCGCCCCATCTCCTCCGTGCATAGAGCACTCATCCCATCTCCTCCGTGCAGAGCCGTCCATCTCCTCCGTGCACAGAGCACCGCCCATCTCCTTCGCGCACAGAGCAACGCCCATCTCCTCCGTGCACAGAGCACCGTCTCCTCCGCGTACAGATCTGCGGCGGCTAGGGTTTTGTCTTAGCGGTGACGGTTTTAATTTTCAGATATGGGGGCTGGAGGTTGGGGCTGATGGCGGGTTGCTGGTGGCGGTGACTGACGGTGACGACCGGCGGTGGCCGGGTCACTCTAACGGTGGCAAGAGCAGGGGATGGGAAGGGGAAGGGGCGGTTGGAGGTTTGGCAGTGTCGGTGGTATGGCGGTGCCGGTCGGGTGTCACTGGGCAAAAGTGGCAGACCAAAGCAATGTCACTTTGGCGGTGTCATTGGGATGATGTCACTGTGAACGACGGCGGCGATGACAGCTGTGATAGTCGGCGATGACACAGGCGACGACAGTCATATTGACATGATTACAGTGACACGAACGACAGCTACAGTGACACGGGCGGCGGCTACAGTGACACCGCTGGTGGCGACAATAATATTCGATAATGACATTAAATTTGACCGGTGACATTGAAATCTGGTAATGACATGAATATGACTCTTCACAAACTGCAGTAGCAGTTGCTCTATACTCAACTTATGTAGAGGATCTACTCAGCTTCACAAATCCAACTTCTCTATGCAGAGCCGTTCATATCCTCCATGCAGAGTCGTCTATCTCCTCCGTGCACAGTCCACTCGCCCCATCTCCTCCGTGCACAGTCCACTCACCCCATCTCCTCCGCGCACAGAGCACTCGCCCCATCTCCTTCGTGCACAGAGCACTCCTCCCATCTCCTCCGTGCAGAGCCGTCCATCTCCTCCGCACAGAGCACTCGCCACATCTACTCCGCGCACAGAGCACCGCCCATCTCCTCCGTGCACAGAGCACCGTCTCCTCCGTGTACAGATCTGCGGCGGCTAGGGTTTTGTCTTAGCGGTGATGGCTTTAATTTTCAGATCTGGGGGCTGGAGGTTGGGGCTGATGGTGTGTTGCTGGCGGCGGTGACTGACGGTGACGATCGGCAGTGGCCGGGTCACTCTAACGGTGGCAAGAGCGGGGGAAGGGGCGGTTGGAGGTTTGGCAGTGTCGGTGGTATGGCGGTGCCGGCCGAGTGTCACTGGGCAAAAGTGGCAGACCAAAGCAATGTCACTGTGGCGGTGTCATTGGGATGGTGTCACTGTGAACGACGACGGCGATGACAGCTGTGACAGTCGGCGATGACACAGACGACGACGGTCATATTGACATGGTTACAGTGACACGAACGACAGCTACAGTGACACGGGCGGTGGCTGCAGTGACACCGGTGGTGGCGACAATAATATTCGATAATGACATTAAATCTGACCAGTGACATTAAAATCTCGTAATTACATGAATATGACTCTTCACAAACTGCAGTAGCAGTTGCTCTATACTCAGCTTCTGTAGAGGATCTACTCAGCTTCACAAATCCATCTTCTCTGTGCAGAGTCGTACATATCCTCCATGTAGAGTCGTCCATCTCCTCCGTGCACAGTCCACTCGCCCCATCTTCTCCGCGCACAGAGCACTCGCCCCATCTCCTCCGTGCACAGAGCACTCATCCCATCTCCTCCGTGCAGAGCCGTCCATCTCCTCCGCACAGAGCACTCGCCACATCTCCTCCGCGCATAGAGCACCGCCCATATCCTCCGCGCACAGAGCACCGTCTCCTCCACGTACAGATCTGCGGCGGCTAGGGTTTTGTCTTTTTATTTTTTTAGCTTTTTATTTTCAAATATGAAAATATGTTCATCAAATTTTTGACCTGGTTCGTGACCGACCAGAAGACTGTATGTACGGTCCCATTCCGAAATCAAACATAGTACAGAGGCCGCCGGATCGTGGACCGTATTGGACAGGGGCTGTGAGGTAGTGGACCGGACTGGACGAGGGATCGTCGTGTTGTGGAACGGATAGGGACCGTCAGGTTGTCGACCGAACCGGACCAGACCGGGATTGCTCGACCGTCGACCGGAACGGACAGGGACTGCCGGGTCCATGACCGGATCGGATTCTGGGGTCGTTGACTGGACTATAACTAACACCGGAGCGGAACCGGATCCACCACTAGGTGTAAATATGCAAATTCATTGTAGCGGCATTGCAGCATCCGCGTTTTCCAAATTTGGAAAACTAGTAAAAGTCACTTCTCCAATTCATTAAGAAAAAGAGAGGCATATCTCATTTTTTTCGTTTTGGAAAACGATTTGGTAAACATTATTTTCTGTCTTCTTTTCTCCAGTTTTCCAGCAATTTTCTTTAGTAAACACGTTTTCGTTTTTCTTTTTCCAGTTTTCCAGTTTTCTGAAAAACTAGAAAATATCTCTGTTAGTAAACAGGCCCCAAGTTTCCCATTTGGGGTATTTTCATTTTCATAATAATAAAAATTGGGAGCTATTTCCCAAATGAATTACAATTAGTGTTCCGGAAAATTTTTGGATCCAGTTTTTTATGCCGTAGAAAACCAGTTGTTATACCGTGGAAGCGGTGCAGGGTGAGCACCCTGCTCCCACAATTATATGAAATGTAAATCATTTGAAAAAACATGTAACTTCAGATTAATAAAAATGTAAATTACATTCATTCAAATGTAACTCATTAAATTGTAAATTGTTTAAATTGAAATGTAACTTGGAAACAAGTTAGATGTAATTTGAGAAATATAATTTTAGCCTATTTATATGTAAAACGCATTTACAGAGATGTAACTACATTTATTAATCAATATACATATAAACCAATTACTCCATCCATCAACATAAACACAATGCAGATGGAGATAAATACCGAATTCTTTTATATACGAAGTATATATAAAAGAGCACACTTCCCTTCCCCGATTCTTTCCACAAAATCAAAGAGCATTATTATAGATTTAGATTCAAAGCAAGCAGAGACATAGAGGCGTTTTTACAAGCAGCAAAATATATACGCAGAGCTTCTTCAACAGATTCAGAGCTTTCTCTTCAGGGTGGGGGGTGTCAATTCAAGATTCAAAGAAGCGCACAGAGAAAAACCCATTTGAATTGGTAGGGGACTGCTCTGCACAAATCCGGATCCAATGAGGGCTTGCGATGTTTTCTATGTCTTCAAATCGAATCTGTCAAGGGAGGAATGACCTTTCTAATAGTTGAGAAGGAAGAAGATGACTTTTTTTTAATTAAAACTGTGCCGTTTAGGGATCGCCGCACCGTGCGCACGGTGGGCCGTTCCCACGGTATAATCTGCGCTAGAAAACCGTGTTTCCAAACTATGATTATTTCCAAATAATCGTGAAATCATTAAGATAATAATACGAGTTTTTTCCCGGAATAATGCTAATTAAATAAATTATTCCCAAAATACTGCCGGGTTAAGAATAATTTCCAAAATACTGCTGGAATTAAGCACGATTAAGGAAAGCCACCACTCCAAGTGGCGGCTCTTGTATTACTTCACAAAAGTCGCCACTCTGAGTGGCGGCTCTTCTCTTATAGTACAAAAGCCGCCACTTCAAGTGGCGGCTCTTCTCTTACATCCCATTTTGTACATATATAAAACGCAGTATGTTTCAAGAATTTATTTAAATGCCTTCCCGATCGAATTTTAAGCTGACGTTTGATATGCATAAACTAGACTTGATGAGGAACATGCTCAAAAATATTCATCAAAAAATTCCACCGGAAACACCCTCTTATGGTGTTGTCCTCGGGGGGCTCTCGTCAGGACGTCATGACAAAAGGGTGGTCCGGCCACCTCAATTTGAGGTGGTTCCCGGTGGTATGTTTTTATGAATTTTTTTGTGTATGTTCCTAATAAAGTCTAGTTCAGTCATACCAAATTTGAGCAAAACATTCAATCCGAAAGGCCGTCAAATGATTTTTGAAAGATAACTACGTCGGATTATAGATATAAAACGCAGTTATCTTTAAAAAATCATTTGACTGCTTTCCCGATTGAGATTGGTTCTGAAATTTGATATGGATTAACTAGACTTGATGAATAACATACACAAAAAAAGTAAGCAAAACATCTCACCGAGAATCAACTCAAATTGAGGTGGCCGGACCACCCTTTTGTCATGACGTCCTGATCGAAACCCCCCTCAGCAACACCATCAGAGGGTGTTTCCGGTGGAATTTTTTGATGATTTTTTTTGAGAATGTTCCTCATCAAGTCTAGTTTATGCGTATCAAATGTCAGCTCAAAATTCAATCGGAAAGGCAGTTAAACAAATTCTTGAAACATACTGCGTTTTATATATGTACAAAATGGGACGTAAGAGAAGAGGCGCCATTTGAAGTGGCGGCTTTTGTACTATAAGAGAAGAGCCGTCGTTCGGAGTGGCGGCTTTCGTAAAGTAATACAAGAGCCGCCACTCGGAGTGACGGCTTTCCTTAATCGTGGTTAATTCCAGCAGTATTTTGGGAATTATTCTTAACCCGGCAGTATTTCGGAAATAATTTATTTCCGAAATACTCAAAAACAACTTAAGAAGCTAAGAGCATATGCATGGACCAAAGTATACTTTAAATGGACTAATTCTTCAATAAAATTTCATTGCGTCTGCTAACGACCTTGCGGGTGAATCGTGTTCTGCAACTTTCGTTCATTCATGCCCGCATTTTTTCTCCCGCCAAACACAATCCTCAGCAACTCAATCCCATTCTCGCTCTCGCTTCAACCAATTGCATTTCTAAGTTCAGCGAAAATGGATGCTCGGAATCCGCGTCGCCTGAAACGAGGCCAGATGTCTAGAGCTGTCGCGGCCGTTAGACCGCCATTTTCGGACGTCTCCAACTTTACGACAACTACTGACTACGGCCCCTCCTCAGCGGGGTCCTACTTCTTCAATGACTCAATTGATTCAAAATCCCAGACCAGTAGTGTAGCTTCCACTTCCGTACTAAACCGGAGCACTACAAAGCTCAGCTTCTCAGCGCCCTCTCATTCTTCTGGCAGCACAGGTAACCCTCTCTTCGCACATCCATTACTAGCGAAATGGATAAACTCAGAAATTTAAATGTATTGTTGAATTTGTGAATCAATACTGGTAGAATTGAAAGATTGAACAATGAAGAAGATGAACTCAAGTAATTGGGAATTAGGGTTCTGAGAATCTGAGCAGTAAGATGATTAATGAATACGTGTGTGCAAAACCATTGAGCTTCACAAACTGCAGTAGCAGTTGCTCTATACTCAGCTTCTGTAGAGGATCTGCTTACCACGGTTTGCTTTTTTTATTTCCAAGAAATAAGAGAATTACCTAGATAGAAACAATAACCTGAATTACTTTTTCTGATGTCAACACACCCTGCCCAATCTGAATCAGTATATCCTTAGAAGTTTAAAATCAGAAATAGAAGAATAGAAAAGGCCTTTACCAGGTGTTCCTTTGAGATATCTTAATACCCTATGAGCAGCACTTAAATGTATGTTAGTTGGTTTAGATAAGAACTGACTTAGAATATGAATACCGTAACTTATATCAAGCCTAGTGACAGTTAGATAAAGTAATCTACCTATTACAGTTCTATAGATGTTAGAATCCATTGGAGTAATAGCAGGTTTGGAAGCTAAAAAATCAGTGTAAAAAGTATGCCAAGATTATATTTCCTTTGAGAAATACAAATACCTTTTTCTGATCTAGAAACTTCAATTCCAAGAATGTACTTGAGTTCACCAATATCTTGTATTGTGAATTTGTTATTCAAATAAGATTTAACCAATTCAATTTCAGCTAAGTCATTACCTGCAAGAATAATGTCATCAACATACAATAATTGTAGTCATAGAATTATTATTTATTTTATTGAAAAGAGAAAAATTAGCTTGTGACTGTTTGTAAACAAAATGTTTGAGAGATTCAGAAATTTTACAATACCACTGTTTAACACAAGCTGATTTTGAACCATATAAACTCTTTAACAGTTCGCATACTTGTTTTAAATCGTAGCCAGATTACTGATCCTCTCTTAATCAATTTCTTCTTCAAAATTGATCTCTCTTAATCGAGCTTTTCTCAATCGATTCCTGAAATCGATCTTCTCTTAACCGATCTTCCAATCTTCTGCTCTGATACCATGTTGAATTTGTGAATCAATACTGGTAGAATTCAAAGATTAAACAATGAAGAAGATGAACTCAAGTAAATGGGAATTAGGGTTCTGAGAATCTGAGCAGTAAGATGCTTAATGAATATGTATGTGCAAAATGAATTATAAAGTAGTTTATATACAGGGGTGTAAAAGAGAATAATAATATATGCAGAATGATACTTCAAGTCTTGTAGCTTTTAATATTTAATCAGCTTTCTTCCTTTATGTCATCTGCATCCTTTTTATAAGTTTGATATGTATAAACTCTCAATTTATACTCACACTTGTACACAGGAATTAAGGAACGAAGAAGATAAACTCTCTCCAATGGATGCTTATTTTTTTCAGATTTCTCTGCAAATAGAAGATATGCTAATTAGTAGGCTACATAAATAAATCTAGCTAACTAAAATTTAGAAATAAGAACAAATAGAAACCACAAGATAAAACCAAACTTCTAACTAAAGAATCTAAATTATTGCAGTAAGACTTGGGATGTTTTTACTTGGACTGTTTTCAGTCCCACACCAGACCAAACCAAACTTAAACAGACCAGACCAGACTAGATTTTTATAATTATAAAATACATAGAGACCAAACATTTATCATACCAGTGCAGACCATACCAACAAATTTTAGTCCAGGTAAAAACATCCTTGGTCTAACTTGACCGTGCTTTGGTGTTGTATTTTTAACACTCTACTTGTTTATTTTCTATTTCAAATATGCAAATGTATATAAGTGGGTGGTAATATTTAGTTATGCTCAGAAGCCTCACAGTGAATATGCTTTGTTGTGGATATGATATTCTATGTACTGGATGAATTATCAAAGGGTTTGTGAACGAATAAAAAATTTCACTGTTCAGAAAATTGTAGTTCTGTCTTTATATTGTTAGTTCCCGTAGCACTAATTTCATACCCATATCAATACGATTTGCAACCTCCTTTTTTCAGCTATGTCAGAAGAGTCGGCATTATCCACGACTGGTCCCAATAAAAGATATCCCAAGGTATGTAAACAATAAAATATTGTTGCTTTGTATTTGTTTGTATATGTTTGTAATTGGTGCTATAAAGTGCTTTGCTAATTGCTAAATAGGTAATCAATTTTTGTTGACACGTTACCTAAGATACTTTGAGGTTTATAGAAGCAAAAATTATTGTATTTAAATTCTCATTTGGTTTTACTTCATCTGACTCCCATATGTGTATAGGGTCAGGACTCGAGAATATGTGAACCCATAGGAAAAAAGAGGGATTTCTGTATGTGGTGGTGTCTCAATACCTGAATGGCTAAATGATTAACTAATTCTGTTTGCAGAAGAGGCGTTCAGGGAAGCTGTCTTTTACAGAAGAATATGCGTTTGAAGATTTTGTGGAGAAACAAAAGGCCTATTTCAAAGAGGTTGATGAGTTCGAGCTGCAAGAGGAGGAAGCATCTGACTAATCTATCTCAATATAAATATATAAATGTTGGTTTCGACTTTTAAGCATGCACATTATATCTTGATGTGCCTTTAGCTGCGTAAAAAATGTTAGAGTGCAAAAAGGAAGTCAGACGTACAATTCGGTGGAAATATTTGAAAATCAATCTATTCAATAGCCTTAAGATGTCTCCATCGTTCTTTGTGTTATTTCATTCAGTGTACTTTTTTCTCTTAATAAACTCGTTGTGTCAGGCGAATGAAAAAGTAATTCTAGGTCTAGCGAATGAGAATGAATAATAACTATGCCAGTAAGTATATTAGCAATACTTACCTCTTTTCTTGAGAGCTCTTTTAGGTTTGAGTTAGGCCAGGCATTTTAAGTATCAAAAGGTTTGCAACTTAAACTTAAAAAGGGCATGGTTCAAAACATAACAAAAAGGATGAAAATACTACTCTGTGAAAATCCTGCCTATATTTATATACTAACTGTTAATTACATATTAAGATTCTGCCTATATTTAAGTACTTCATGTTTATTATTATTTATTAGTAAATCGTTATTTTAAGTGTCTATATTAAATAGTAAGGATGGTAAGACTCATATATAAACTTCCAAATAAGAATTCTAACGGGATGTCTTCATGGTTATACTTACGATGAGATTTGACCATCTCATGGGCCATGGCTGTCTTCACCCACATTAATATACATTGAATTAGCTCATGATGAGCTCCTAAAATGAAGAAGGCTACACATAGTTCTTATTTATGGTATTCCAGCTTTATTATAAATTAATTGTAATTCCGGTTGATTTAATTATGCCCTGATATATTGCTAATAGGTTAGTGGTATATGATCTCATAGTTGGTTCAAGGTTGTTGGTTTTATGTGCATATAAGTTCCAACCATCTCATTGAAGAGTTAGTCTAATCATGGTTCTAATGGACAATCCTGTCATAACAAGTGTTTTAGAACAAATTGGTTTGGTCGAAACCTAGAAATGGTTACGGCTTATTATTTTACTCAGCTATTTTTCTTTTATATCTACTCTATGAAGCATGTATAAGTTTATTCTACTTTTTTTATAATCTTGATTGCCTCCTTTAAAAAATTAGCTTAGGGGATATCTGAAACCTATAAAACAAGATTTTATTTAACTTGGATTTGTGGCATTTAGGTATGTTTGATTTCATTAGAATGCTTTTTCTATATGAAGATTGCAGAAGTAGAATATCACTGGTGGCATGTTTGAAGCTTGGAGCTGGCAGAGTTGAGCTTATCTGGATACAATTCTCGGACAAAGTTATGCTAAGAAACACATAGCTATTATAACACGGTCTTAGTAGTGTTATTAGTTTTAGATGGGTGTTTTCTGGAAGTTGTGTTTGACACTGTTTTTACATCCTTGTTTTGGAACTAGTGAGCATAATTTGGGTAAGTTTTTATTTCCTCCATTTTTTAGCTCAAGTTTTATACTACGTACCAGTGTACCACATTGAGGCTTGACTTTATGTGTAATGCAAATATTTCATATTTAAAAAGCAGTTAACCATATGTAATGCAGTTATTAAGTCAGTGTTTTGATTGAATGGATAAGTTGTGGTTTTAATTAAGTCGTAAGTAAATATGACTTCATTGTTGAATTGAACAATTAAATTGCTATCCTCATTAAGTTCATTAAGTCGAAAGTAAACATCTCCTTAACATTTAACTACACGACAATGAACAAGAGTCAACAGCAAACATTGCAAACTACGAGTGCTTTCTTGTGATATGTGACGATGAAGGAAATCCGCAAAAAAACAAACCGTGAAAAATGTCACCTGCACTCAGATCTTCAATAATTTATAATGTGTGAACTTATTAAACTTCTAACATTTGTGATTATTTATTTCCGATTTCTCTCATCTATACGTTTACATATTAACATTTTTAATATTTACATATTACATCCCGTGCAATGCACGGGTGAGATACTAGTGATTAACTAATTTTGTTTGCAGAAGAGGCGTTAAGGAAACTGTCTTTTACCGAAGGATCTGCGTTTGAAAATTTTTGTGGAGAAACAAAAGGCTTATTTCAAAGAGGTTGATGAGTTCTAGCTGCAAGAGGATGAAGCATCTGACTGATCTATTGGCTGATGAGTGTCTTAAATTGGGTTTTTTGTTGAAGAGAATATTTTTCTAGTCAAGCATAGCTTAGGCGTACCCTAGCGTAGTAGTCACCATTTGGCAATTAGGTTAGGAATTCAACTCTTAAAAAAGTTTCTGTAAATAGTGTTGTGATCTATTCCTCTTGTAGTCTCTGCACTGCTGAACTTTTAGCTTATTCGCTTATAGAAAGTATTGGAATTTCATTTAGCTGTTTGTACAATTTAACGGGCCTTGTTTTTACTTTTTATACAGTTTCCCCGCTTCCCGATTCGGACATTTGGTAATCTGTTTTGGTGTTAATAGTCTAAGAATGACACATATGTCATATTTTTATCTGTCTAGGCAACGTAAGGATGTGATTATGGAAACTAAAAGCTTTTCACCTATGTTTAGTTTATTTTCTCGTATATAATATTCAAGAGTTGTTTCATTTCTTATCATAGATTGGACAAAGTATATGCCTTATCATCTCAAAATTTTGTTTACCAAAACATAAGTTCATGGATAAGGAAAATAAGGGGCACATTGGAACTAAGGACGGGTTAATAGTAGTGATGGATTCGGTTCGGGCCACCCGGCCCGTGACCCGGCCCGGCCCGGTACTGTGCGGGCCCGGGACCGGCCCGGTCGGGCGGTCCGGGACCGGGTATGGGCCCGAACCGGTGGGAAGGGGCGGGGCGCGCTCGGTTCAGCATTTTTGTGACCCGGCCCGGCCGGGTCGGGCCCGGGCCCGGGTCCGGTTCGATCAATTTTTAAATTTTTTTTTTTTTTTTGGTTTGGGCTCCTACTAACCGTTGGGGCTGGGGCTGGGGACAACCCAAACGGCTATATAGCCGTTGGGTGGGGTAAAGGGGGGGTCCGGGGGGGTTGGGTGGTGGGGGGGTGGTGGGGGGGTGGGTGGGGGGTAAAAAAAACCTATAAATACTCCTAATCTTAAACATTTTTTCATATCTCTTCTCCAATTCTTCCTATTCTTATCTCTCTACTCTCTAATTCTCTTATTCTCCAATATATTATATATCTACTCTCATATTCTCTATTTCTCTTCTCCAAGAAGTTAAGATGGAAAATCAAAATGCCATTATACGGTATAATTTTGATAAGCAGAAGGACCCGAAGACCGGGATGTGGTACGCAATTTGCAAATGGTGCGAAAAAAAATGTATAATGGGGGCTTCAGGCGGATTCGGGATGACAATCAAGCATATGAAGTCATGTGACAAAGCCAAATGATCGGGAGGTGCAGGAAGTTCCGATTGATTACAATTTTCAAAATGTTTATCTCTTAAAGTTTGTTTTAATTTTCAAATGTAGTTCCTATTTCATTTCAAATAAATGCAATTGAAGTTTGTTTTTAATACTCGTATAAAACTATAAACTATAAAATATAAATCATAAAAAAAAAAATTAACCGGCCCGGCCCGAACCGGACCCGACCCGTGACCCGGGCGGGTGGCCCGGCCCGAACCGGACCCGTACAACCCGCAGGCCGGTCCCGAGCCCACTTTTCTTGAACCGGCGGCCCGACCGGGCCTAGGCCCGGCCCGAATCCATCACTAGTTAATAGGTGGACAACAAGATCAAGATGTAATGTTTGATCTTGGAAAAGAAGGGCCACTGGAAAATGATTCTTAGCATCTGCAGAAGCATGAATCCCCCCCACACCCACAGGGAAAAGAAGATGAAAAACATGACATGCTCTTCTACTCTTCTGCTAAAACTGAACTAAATTTGTATTTCTTTCCTATTTTAAAAACAGTTCATACTTCAGATATGACTGAGATCCCTCACTGATTGACACTGATACAGAGTCCATTGGAGTTGACTTTTTGCTTGAAATGATTTTTGATGGTAGCAGAATAGTATTTCAAGTTAAAGGGTTGGTCTCTATTATTTTAATCTTCAGTTCTTTTGCTAAAAGCTAATAAGCATTGAACTAACTTCATTCTCTTTTCCTTATCGAAGCATTACATGTTGCAAGCGAGAGCCATGTAGTCTAGGTTTGAAATGGCCTGGAAACTATGAAAGTAACATATAGAGGAAATTGTGATTCATTAACTGATCAAGTAAAGCTTTACAATTCCAAGTACGTGTCCTAAATGAGTTCACTATATAGCGACGACATTTTCATAGAGGCACGCACCCGAGTTGTTAAGGCAAAGTGGTCTCCGGAAATAGCAGAGGCTTGGGGAGTGAGAGAAGCTATACGCAGGGCTTGTAGGAATCGGTGGACAAATTTGGTGATTGAAACAGATGCAGCGTTGATAATAGCTGGGATCCAAGGCGAGTCATATGCGGCCCAAATTGGGGTTATTTATGACGACATTAAGGTGTTATTGAGAGCGAATCCGGATATTCAAGTAAAGTAATGATTAATAAAAGCATGAGAAAATGAAGGGGCAAGTGGAGCTTCTCTAACGGTGGCAAATGTGAGCCATGATGCTCGTGCATGGCCATGCATGTTACGCATGAGCCATGTATGTTAATTCGGCCCCGCAGTTGAAGCGTGAGGAGACCGGACGTTGAGACTGGAGCGGAAATCTTCAAACAATACACGTGGAAGTCCCTTGGTGAAGATGTCTGCGAATTGATGACGGGAGGGTACATGTAAAACCCGGATCTCGCCGCGAGCCACTTTCTCGCGGACGAAATGAATATCGATTTCGATGTGTTTTGTACGTTGGTGTTGGACTGGATTACCGGACATGTAAACGCTGCTGATATTGTCACATTAAACTAATGAAGCCTTGGGCAGCGGGTGGTTTAGTTCAAGCAATATGTTACGGGTCCAACATATTTCGGCTACAACATTTGCCACGCCCCGGTACTCGGCCTCGGCGCTAGAGCGGGAAACAGTGGGCTGTCTTTTGGAGGACCAGGAGATTAAATTGTCACCGAAGAAGACACAATATCCCGATGTGGAGCGCCGAGTGTCGGGACAGCCACCCCAGTCGGCGTCCGTATAAGCGATAAGACTGGTAAGGGGCGAAGATCGGAGAGTAAGACCTAGCTGGAGGGTGCCGCGGAGGTACCGAAGTATCCTCTTGAGGGCGTGAAAGTGAGATTGACGTGGGTCATGCATGAAAAGGCATATTTGTTGTACTGCGAATGATATGTCGGGGCGGGTGAATGTGAGATATTGGAGTGCACCTGCTAGGCTACGGTAGTGAGTGGGATCATCAACTGGGGGCCCGGCTGAGGCGCTGAGTTTGGACGATGAGTCTACCGGAGTGGCAACAGGATTGCACGATGTCATACCGGCACGGGATAATATTTCCTCAGCATATTTGTGCTGAGAGTGGAAGAGGTTACCAGCATGGCGTGTTACAGAGATGCCCAAGAAAAATCTGAGTGGCCCCAAATCAGTCAATGCAAATTCCGAGTGAAGCCTTGTAATGATGGTGTCACGAAGTTGGTCAGTAGAGGTGGTACGTATGATGTCATCAACGTACAAGAGTAAGTAAGTCGTGTCACTACCGGAGTGCAGCGTGAAGAGGGAATGGTCACATGTGCTATGCTTGAAACCGAGAGTAGTGAGAGAGGATGCGAAGCAGTGATACCATGCCCGTGGGGCCTGTTTTAGGCCATACAAGGATTTGAGGAGTTTGCATACATGATGTGGGCGAGAAGTGTCACGGTAACTGGGTGGTTGATGCATGTAGACTGTCTCCTCTAGGTGACCGTGGAGAAATGCATTTTTAACATCCAATTGGTGCAAAGGCCAATTGTGTGAAAGTGCCATGCTAAGGACAAGTCGAATAGTGGCCGGTTTGACCACGGGGCTAAATGTTTCATCACAATCCACACCCACTTGTTGAGAGTTCCCATTGACCACGAGCCGAGCTTTATGACGTTCTAGGGCCCCGTCCGACCTGTATTTATGTTTAAAGATCCACATGCAACGAGTAATATTTGCGTTAGCCGGGCGGGGAACCAACTCCCACGTCCCATTTTTAACAAGTGCACTATATTCATCATCCATGGCCATTTTCCAGTTAGGATCACGGAGGGCTAGAATTGGTGATTTGGGTATGGGAGATGGTGTGAGGCTGACGGTTAGGTTGAGGGGGTATTTGGGTTTAAAAATGCCACTTTTACTGCGCGTGACCATTGAGTGTGTAGGCATAAGCGGTTGTGGGGGCGGAGGGGCAGTGGGTATAATTGGGGTTTGTGTGGGGTGTAGGATTGACGGTGGAGAATTGGTATGAGAGGTTGGGATTGTCGGTTGAGTTGGGGTTTGACCAGTGGGGTCCGGGTTTGGAGTGGGCACGTGGTTTGGAGGGGTGACGTGAGCGGGCTGCGTGGGTAAGGGGGGCTGCCATGTAAAGATGTCCGGAAAGAGGATGGACGGGTGCGGGGTGGTTTGGGAGGGTGGTGGTAAGGTGCTAGGTGGCTGGTTAGAAAAGGGAAAGACGGCTTCGTTAAAGGTGACGTGACGGGATATGAACAATTGTTTGGTGAGAATGTCATAACATTTGTAACCTTTGTGATTGGTAGGATAGCCAAGGAAAACACACGGGGTGGAGCGGGCTTGGAGTTTATGGATTTTTTGGGAGGGGATATGTGGGAAACATAAGCAACCAAATACTCTCAAATGGTTATAGACGGGGGTTTTGTTGTAAAGGAATTGTGTCGGGCTATTAAAATCTAGAGATTGGGAGGGGAGGATATTATGTAGATATGTGGCCATTTGGATGGCGTGATGCCAGAAAGTTGAGGGGACGGAGGCCTGAATTAACATCGTACGAGCCATATTGTTAAGGGTTCGTATGGTGCGTTCAGCCTTTCCGTTTTGAGGGGAGGTATATGGACAAGAAAAACGAAAATGCATTCCGTGTTTGTTGGCAAATTGGTGAAAGGAGGTGTTGTCAAATTCCTTGCCATTATCACATTGAAAAACCTTTATACATTTTTCAAATTGAGTATGTATATAGGTATAAAAATGAGAAAAGGTAGAGTATGTTTCGGATTTATGGCGTAGGGGATAGACCCAAAGAAATTTTGTGTAATCATCCAAGAATAAAATGTAGTATCGATGACCATTAGAACTTAAAACCGGGGAAGTCCATAAGTCACTATGTATTAAATCAAAAGGTTGGAACGTAGTAGATAAAGAAGATGCAAATGGTAATTTATGGTGTTTTCCCATTTGGCATGAATTACAAGTGGAACTGGACGTTTTATTACATATAATATATTTATTGGTGCGAAGGTAAGTAAAAACAGGGTCGCCGGGGTGGCCCAAACGACTATGCCATAAGTCCGCG